GAAGATTTTGAACCAGCTCTTTGTCTTAGTTATGTTAGGTTGCATTTGTTGACATGGTGAGCGTTGATATACTCTTTCAGAGGTTATATATGATATGTATTAACAATTTTTTTTTATAGTTTTTGTCTTTTATTGATATAAACGTACTTTATACCATACTTGTAAGATGTGATTAAATGACTTAAATTTGTGTATAACTTCCGAGATGCAGGAGGAGGCCATCAAAATTTTTTTGGTCAGGATATTGGCTAATACTGTGCGATTTTTTTTACTAGGAATAATTGTTTTTCTTGATTTATTGGAAGTGGATATACGATTCTCTTATAATTTTGTGCTACATTACTCTTGTACATACACAAGCACAATGTTAAAACTGGCAGATTGTGTTAGTATTTTTTTTATATATTCATGTTTGTGTTGTTTTCTTCTTGGTTCTTGCATGCTTCTAATTGATATATGGGGTTAATGGTTTAAGGAAGTTTATTCTTGTTTACTGGTACATGAGTTTAATAAATACATACACAAAATACTTTTTTTTTAAAAAAACAAAACTCATATGGACAACGCCTGTTTGGAGAAGTGTTATTGTAGACATCGAAAGTTTAATATTTTATTAATTAATATCTTTATTTATATTTGACATAAATCCATAATAAATAAGATATATAATTAATAATGTTATTATTTCTTGCCCACCAAGTCAAATCTTAGGATAAGAAAGAATCTTAGGATAAGGAAAGAGATTATATCAAATTAAGAAGGACAACTCAAATTGATGTCTTCTTCTCCAAGACTCTCTCTTCTACACCTATAAATAGGGCTCTCCTCAATGCCACAAATCACACCTAAAAAAAAAAACAACACCTAAGACACCTAAAAAATCAAACACACCTCATACATCAAAATATCAAGTTCAAGAGCTCTCAATGATTCTCTTGAAGATCCACAACATTCAAGCCGAGTTCGTCGAGAAGTTCAAGCAACATAGCCTTTGATCCGGGAAAAAGCTCACAAACCCTCGAGTCAACCTTATGCAAGTCCAAATCTGTCTTCTAGAAAGATTGAAGATGCAAGTCCTCCAAGAAGTTGTCCTCAATCAAATCAAGTCCTAACGTTTAATTCGGGAATCAAGTCATTCGACCTCCCAATTAACGTTAGACAAATTCAAGCTCAAGCCTGAAGAAGATCCAACCATCAAATCCGGCTTCGAAGATCCAATCCAAATTCAAGAAGAGAAGAATCAGATGAGATAATAGAGATTGTACCCGCAATATCGTTTGGTTGAAATATATTCAAGTTGTACAAAAGTTTTATGTTTTTCATAAAATTTGTTGTTACTTTGGAACGCCCAGTGGAACTTTTCATAAAATTTGTTGTTATAAATATTGCACGCCCAGTGACTTTTTATAAAATTTTTTGTTACAAATTTGACACGCCCAGTGGAACTTTTCATAAAATTTGTTGTTACAATTTGGCATGCCCAGTGGGACTTTCTCTACCTCTCATCTCTTCTCTCCAAATCAAGTTCGAAGATATTTGAAGATGCATAAAGACCTCTGTGAAGAGAATGCACACGGGAACAACGAAGGATGATGTTTTCCTAAGCCATGAATCCGCCGAAAATCATTGTGTTTATCAAACATCCGAATAGAGGAAACAAAAGTGGTCTTCTATATTCTTCTCAAATTCCATGGGAGCAATTCACATGAAGAGCTCCATCAAATCAAATTCATCAAGCTCCTTGATACGAGCCTAAACTATCTAGAAATTCAAATGCTCCTTGATATGAGCCTAAACTATCTATATGGCTCATTGACACGAGTATAAAATGCCTACATATCAAGATCTCTTTGTCACGAGAATAGAAGGTCTACATATCAAATTTGAAGGCTCCTTGACAAAGCATAAAATGTCTACATATTAAGATCTCCTTGACATGAGAATAAAAGTTCTCCATATCGAATTCGAAGGCTCCTTGATACGAGCATAAAATGTCTACATATCAAGATCTCCTTGACACGAGTATAATATTGTCTACAAATCCTGTCAAATGAATAACTTCTTGGTACAAGTATAAACTATCTGTCAAACCAAATTAAGACTACTTGATATGAGTATAAACTATCTACATATCAAATCAAATCAAGACTCCTTGATACGAGTATAAACTATATGTTAAACCAAATCAAGAACTCCTTGATAGAGTATAAACTATCTGTCAAATTACTTCAAGACTCCTTGATACGAGTTTAAACTATCTACAAACCCAAGTTGAAAAACTCCTAGATAAGAGTTTAAACTATCTGCATGTCCAAACCAAACTCAAAATCTTAAGACTCATTCACTACCAAGACATTTTGTCCGTGAACAAGTCTCAAGGGGGCATTTGTAGACATCGAATTTTTAATATTTTATTAATTAATGTCTTTATTTATTTTGGACATAAATTCATAATAAATAAAATATATAATTAATAATGTTATTATTTCTTGCCCACCAAGTCAAATCTTAGGATAAGAAAGAATCTTAGGATAAGGAAAGAAATTATATCAAATCAAAAGGACCAATCAAATTGATGTCTTATTCTCCAAGACTCTCTCTTCTATACCTATAAATAGGGCTCTCCCCAATGCCACAAATCACACCTAAAAAAAACCAACACCTAAGACACCTAAAAAATCAAACACACCTCATATATCAAAATATCAAGTTCAAGAGCTCTCAATGATTCTCTTGAAGATCCAAAGGTGTTCTTGAAGATCCACAACATTCAAGCTGAGTTCGTCGAGAAGTTCAAGCAACATAGGGTTTGATTCGGGAAAAAGTTCTCAAATCCTCGAGTCAACTTTATTCAAGTCCAAATCCGTCTTCTAGAAAGATTGAAGACGCAAGTCCTCCAAGAAGTTGTCCTCAATCAAATCAAGTCCTAACGTTTAATTCGGAAATCAAGTCATTCGACCTCCCAATTAACGTTAGACAAATTCAAGCTCAAGCCTGAAGAAGATCCAACCGTCAAATCCGGCTTCGAAGATCCAATCCAAATTCAAGAAGAGAAGAATCAGAGGAGATAATAGAGATTGTACCCGCAATATCGTTTGATTGAAATATATTTAAGTTGTACAAAATTTTTATGTTTTTCATAAAATTTGTTGTTACAAATTTGGCACGCCCAGTGGGACTTTTCACAAAATTTGTTGTTACAAATTTGACACGCCCAGTGGGACTTTTCATAAAATTTGTTGTTACAAATTTCCACTGGGCGTGCCAAATTTGTAACAACAAATTTTATGGAAACATAAAACTTTTGTACAACTTGATTTATCTTGATCAAACGATATGCGGGTACAATCTCTATATGGAATCCTCTGATTCTTCCTTTCTTGGATCTTTAACTTGAATGTCATGGATCTTTAAGAACACCTGTGGATCTTCGAAAGAATTATTGGGAGTTAGTTGAATTGAGACTTTGATTTATGAGGTGTTGGATTTTTTTAGGTGTAATTTGTGGCATTGAGAAGAGCTTTATTTATAGGTGTAGGAGAGAGGGTATTGGAAAAGAAGACATCAATTTGATTGGTCGTTCTTGATTTGATATAATATCTTTCTTTATCCTAAGATTTGATATAATCTCTTTTCTAATCTTAAGATTTGACTTGGTGGGCAAGAAATAATAACATTATTAATTATATATCTTATTTATCATGTATTTATGTCCAAAAATAAATAAAGACATTAATTAATAAAATATTAAAATTTCGATGTCTACAGTTATATTTTATCATCATCTCAAATAACACTTTGAGAATAATTGTTATTTGGTCAATATTATCGATAACGCTTAATATAAAAAAAATTATTTGAAAAATTAATCACATAATGCTTGTTGTCGCACATGTTATCCAATTGAATTCTTTCGTAACACTTTATAATCTATAGGTCCTTAGGTAATATTGGCTCCAATAATGCTTAAAAGCGTTATCTATAGCGAAAAAAGTGTTATCTAAAGTTTTTTTGACGTAGAAATAAAATTAAATTAATTGATGTCGGTTTCAAAAATAAAAGGAAAAAAAACGTTTGATCATGTATCTCTACTAATTACTAACATTCATTTACATGTCATCTGGACTGGAATGTACTTTGAAAATATCATAAACTCGAAGGAAGCAAGAAATAAATTACTAAAAAATATTTATTAATTCAGACGCATGATCTATTCATATTACTATTTAGTCTATTTTGGAAAAATATGGAATATAGTTCTATATTATAACAAAACAATTTTATTAAAATTCAAATTAACCATTACTTATTTTATTATTTTCAAAAAGAATAATCAATTTCAATACACCAAAGTCAAATTTCTATCAGAACCACATGTCCTCTAAATTTTGGAAAATATTTTTTTTTTCAGTCCACTATAAAGATATATTAAATCTTTTAAGACTGTCGGTTCAAAAGTTAACCTTTTCACTCAAAAAAGTGCGAAAGAGATGCGAATAGACCCCATGATTGTTTGCCTATTAATTGCACAATTATCACATATTCATCGCGCAATATTTTCACATATTAACTTTTTCACTCTATAAAGTGTGAGGTTATGCGAATGGACCGCGTAATGATCATATATTCATCACACGATGTCTTTAGTACACTTTAATCTTTTCACTTCAAAAAGTGCAAATAGTTATGAGAATAGTGTTGCATATCGTGATATTTATTGCGTATTTCTCGCATATTAATCGCACAATGTTTTAACACTTTTTGGGTGAGAAAATTAACCTATGAATGAGGTACTGTGAAAAACTTAGAAAGACTATGAATGGGGTACTGTGAAAAACTTTGATAGTGGGTGAAAAAAAAAAAAAAACTATTTTCACTTAATTTCTATCAAACTTGTTCTCAAATCCATCAATTTTAAATTTCGGCAAGAACATCCACATGCGTTCTATATTTCGGAGAGCAATTTAAATTGTGACAAAGCTCTTAAAATAGAAACACTGACACAACAAACTAAACTGAGAAAACTCGATCGAGATAATATAAAATCCCGGAAATCATTTCATGTTATAAAGCACATGAAACCACACATTACAAAAGCATCAAAAACAGGAANAAAAAAAAAAAAAAGTAACAATAATCACGGGTCACTCATTTCACATGAGACATAATGTTTAAACCTGCACGAAGCCGGGCACGTAAGGCACGCCAGCGCCCTTGATCCACTCGTCCCCAGCAAACACTACTTGCGGGGTGAAGCTTTCTGCTATCTTGGGCGTGATCTTCTTAATCCCCTTCCACGTGACCCTCTTCCCTAGGTTCGACCCGGCCCCACGGTTCTGATACTCCCCATAGTACAGCGTGTCGAGCGCGAATGTCCCCATCCATGGAGACCACCCCTCGGGCGCTATGAACCCGTCAATGTTCGACTGCATAATAATGGTGCGCGAGAACTCCTTCCACGGCCTGCCCAGGTAAGCCGATAGTACCGGCTTCACTGCCAGGAAGCCAGGCTCGGCCACGATGTCACAGTTCTGGATGACTGTGACACCGAGGCTGCGCTTGTCCTTGCGGCCTTGGGCAGTCACCATGCACGCTTGGTTGTCCATCGGCTTCCGCACCACCAGTCGGCTGTTTTGGAACACGGCCACTGCATCACCGAAGATGAAGTCGATCGTGCCCGTGATCGTGCAGTCGCGGTAGTATTGGCGGTACGCGTGGGCGTAGAGCGTGTCTTGGTACCCATCCATGTGCACGTTGTAGAACACGGCCTTGTCGCCCGAAGCGCGGACTGCCACTGCCTGGTGCTTCTCGGGACCAGCCGTGTTCTCGATGCCGATGTCCTTGGCGAAGAACCCTTCGCCGTTCACCACTGCTCGCGTAAGGAATCGGGAAGTAAGCAACCATTTTACCGATTTTTCGCAAGTAGTCAGTGTGTAGTTTTTTTTGTATTTTTTATATTTGACAAAAATTCAATTTTGGTATGTTTACTTGTTTAAGTCCTTTTTTGATACACTAATTTTTTTCTCGTCAATTATAGTACGTTAAGTTGCAATTTATATCACTAATGGGACATTATATCCCAAAACTGGTTCATTATTTTTTAGGATTAATGTCCTAAAATGATACAAATTGCAACATAACATACTGTTTTTGATGAGTATTGTCTTAAAAATGATTCAAATTGCAGCATAACTTACTATTTTTGATAAGGAGTAAGTTAGTGTACCAAAATTGAAATTGTTCCTTTTTTGATATATTGCACTCGATTTTCACAAGTTATTATGTACTTTCTACAATTGTAAAAGTTACTAGGTAAATATGTTATCTACCTCATATTTTTCATTTTTCCCATTTTTTTCTTACCAAGGACGGCAGTGTGGAAGGTCTGGGTGCCGTCGGCGTAGTTCTTGCTGCCAGAGATGCGGGTCTTTGTGGGGCCGTCACCAATAATGGCAACATTGTTGACGTGGCGGGGGATGATGACGGTCTCCTTATATATGCCGGCCTTGACGTAGATGACAAATGTCGCGTTGCTCTTCTTAGGCAGGGTATTGAGGGCTGCTCCGATTGTCTTGTACTGCCCGCTACCGTCTTGGGCCACCACCGCGTTCGGCTTTAGGCTCGCAGGTGATGCAGCCATCAGTTTGCGGGCCTTGGAGTCCACGTACGAAGGCATAGCTCCTTGCGCTAGGAGCCTGCGGTTCGTGAAGCTACCCAAGTCGAGGGAAGATAAGATCGAGGAGAAATCCGTCACCATGGCCAGTCCATTGCTCAGAAGCTCGCCTGACGTCTTCAACAACTTCTTCATCTTCTCGCCCGTTTCACCTGCATACCAGTTAATATTATATATCCATTCGAAAACAGCACTCAATATTAATTGTTACGTAAATATTAGGAAAAATTTCAATCTTGGTCCGTTTACTTGTCTAAATTTTTTTCGTTATACTAACTTTCCCTTCATCAATAATAGTACATTATGTTACAGGTTTGTATCATTTTTCGGATATTAATCCCAAAAAAATTATGAACCATTTTCACGATAATGTCCCAGTACTGATACAAATTTCAACATAATGTTTTATTCTTGAGGGAAAAATTAGTAGGACTTTAGACAAGCAAACGGACCAAAATTGAATTTTTGCCTGTAATAATATAATTAATTATACCGGTGGTGTTCTCAAAGGCGTCGAGGCAGGTCTCGTGGTAGGTGATGGAGGCGCTAAGCCAGGTCTTAACGTCGTCGATGTAGTCTCCGACCTTGCTGACGTCAAAGTCGCTAACCTTTTCGAACGAGCGCCTGAGGTCCTCGATCGAGGTGTCGAGAGTCTCGTCGCAGACTTGGAGGGCGCCTTTGGTGCGCTCGTCCTCCGCGGCCTTCTTGAAGAGGTCCGAGTTCTTGATGGCGTCCTCGATGTTTTTCACAGTGGACTCAAAGGCGGCCTTGATCAGCTCCTTGGGGTCAGTGGAGTTGGCATTCGAAAGGCTCTCCTCGCACGTCTCCTTGTAGTCAGTCGGGGAACATATAGCGTGAACAGCCTTGGTGGAGGCAGAAATGCCGCCAGAGGCTGAGGCTGAGGAGTCAGAGGAGGTTTCGCCACCCTTTTTGGTGACACCGACGGCCACGGCCACGCACATGGCCACGAGGAGGATCGAGGCAAGCCCGGCAACGGCCACCTTCTTCTTGGAGTCGCTACCCATATTTTTTTTTCTCTTATTTTTATTTTTTTT